CTCTCTCTTTCACACACACACACACACACACACACACAACCATGAAATCAAGCAACCCCCTGCAGACAGGAGAAAAAAGACCTGTCATCGTGGGATTGCATATCGAATGCACGTCTCAACTGAACAAGCGCACGTCTCTCTCTCTCTCTCTCTCTCTCTCTCTCTCTCTCTCTCTCTCTCTCTCTCTCTCTCTCTCAAAACCATGACTTTCTCCTGAAATGAAGAACCCCCCTGCAGACAGGAGAAAAAAGACCTGCCATCATGGGATTGCCTATCGAATGCGCATCTCAACTGAACAAGCGCATGTCCCACTGGTTTCAAATAACGTTGGTTATTGGTTGTTAAAACAACATGATGGCCGAATCGATCACCGTCCGAGTTCTCGGAAACGCTTACAGATTGACAGTACAGTATACGGAAAGGCAACATCCAAGGATCTAAACGTGCGGAAGCGAATGTGCATTCTATGGTTCCATACTGGGGAACAGGGCCCCCCACAAATGGGGCTGATACAGGCGATGGTGAGTAGACACTGACCACCAAGATGCACAATTCACTTGCCGCTGTCTGTAGTCCTTCATACCATACATAACATTGCGCGCATTATGCACACATGTCATTGCCTACACTGGGAGGGTAAAGATTACACGTACAAATTTTCCCCGCCGGCGGTTGTTTCCACGGCTGCTCGCCGACTCTACGCCGACCCAATTGCGCAGAATGATAGAGCTGACAGATCCAACCCCTTCCCCCCCCCCTTCAGGAAGGTGGAGTTTTCGCTTACACACCAAAAACCATTCAAGAGTTGCGACAAGCCACGTCATCGTGCGATCATTGTTGAAAACTGTTATCTCTTGTTGGCCTGCACTATTCACAGCAGCAGGAGACAGAATGAAAAAGCCAACAGCTCCTGTCAGATTGCACCGAAGACAAAAAAGAAGCGGTTGACCTGCACTGAAGCCCCCCCCATGTAGGGTAAATTACAGACGCTGATTATCTTACGTCAACTCCAAGGGGCCTGCATAGGGTCCTTGCGCATTTCATGAGAACACAGAACCGCGATCCATGTCTGCTCACTCCAAGGAAATAATAAATTAACATCATGTTAGGTCTGAAGACTCCTCTTTTAAGTTTTAATCCCTCCCCCCCCCCCCCCACCAACCCACCCGTGTACTATTTTCTTCTCCGATTTCCACATCTCCACCCCAACCCCCCACCCCGCATCCATTCCCCTGGCAAACCCTTTTATAGAAACCAAAACTTAAGGTTGCAGCAAGCATCACTGATTGCCCTTCCCCAATGTATGAGTGCGGCATGCAGACAAAACAGTCGGGCTTTCGATGCAATGAGTGTACTAGATTCACCAACAAAGAAACGGCTGTGAAAATTGAAAAAACGTGTGCAAATATTTCTCATCGCTCGACCCTTTTCTTGCTTTTTCAGATTTTCTCTCTTTTAAACCCTAAACCTGTGCAAATCAGGCTAGGTTGGCAAGGAACATGAAAAGCCAGTTCACACCGGCGACGAGGGACGAGACTGCAGCTGTGGACGAGGGACGAGACTGCAACTGCGGACAAGGGACGAGACTGCAACTGTGGACGAGGGACGAGACTGCAACTGCGGACAAGGGACGAGACTGCAACTGTGGACGAGGGACGAGACTGCAAATGCACCTTTTCAAAGTGGCCTGCCGTTTTCGGTTCCGGCGCAGGCGGGAATCGAGATATTTGAAATTTTGGACTACGTCGACCGGCAACCGCAGTACACGGCTTCGGGTGAATTGGCGGTTGAACAAATTTGGCGTTTTCACTGTTTTGGCATTCCCACTGGCCGCTGGTTATAAACCCTACCAGTACCTTTCCCCCCGGTTGAAAAAAAAAAAAATACTGTGGGGGATAACACGGAAATTCAGTCCCCGCTGCGAAATGGCTGGCCGCACAGGGCAGATACATACATGTCCGTTCAATTTTTTCTGGGACGCATGGCAATTTCGGGCCCGCGGCGGATATATGGGAAAGGTACTGGTGGTTTAAGTTGCTCACTTGTTACTGAGTCCAAAGGGTCCTAAAATTAGACGAAAAAATCTTCGTGCAACTCAGTTCCGTTTGAGTGTTAAAAACATATATATTTCTTCTTGCTTCTATAGTATAATAAAAACGATAAAGAAACATGTGGCATGAAGTGATGAAAACATTCAAAGTTTGAACAACACCTCCAAATGAGAGGAGAGGAGTGTACAGACGGCCACACGGTGTGGTCCGCTGTGTGCTGTCCGGCACCTGCCCGTTCACAGCACCAGCGTCACTTTCTTTCTCCGTCTTTTCTTTTCTTTTTTCTTCCTCTTTCTTTCTTTCTTTCTTCCTCTTTCTTTTTCTTTTTCTTTCTTTTTTTCTTTTTCTTTTTCTTTTTTGCTGTTTCTGTAGATAGAGAAGAGTGTACTGCCTAAGAAAGAGATCCTGTTCGAGTACGGTCGTGCAAATTCTCGTTTTGTCGGGCGACAACTCCCCCAACTCGTCTTCCTTGTTCTTTGTTAATCCAACAACAAATTTCCGAAGGGGGTCACAGGCGACCACCCATCCAAGCCTGCAACCCCTTCTTTTTCTGGGTGGTCTATTTCCCCATGCGCCGCACAGCTCCAGTGCGCTCGCGCGCCATACGTGCGCAATCGCATGCACGGCGTGCGGCGTGCGCTTGCAATACACGAGTGTACACATTCATAATGTCAATCGTTGCTTCTGGAAGAGGGATGAAGGGGACAAACAGACAGACAGTACGGTTCCTACCTTGGCGGATAGGTCCTCATCCTTTTTATACAGACAAGCAGGCAAACTCTTCGATGGAGGCAAAAGAGCGACGCTCAAATGGTCCGCAGCTGAATACTTGTCCCAAATGGCAGTCAGGATGCCGGTTCGAACTTCCTTGTCCATCTGCGCCGCATGCAAACGCTGGGAGACGAATATGAAAGGTATCAGTCCGGGAGGCCACACAACATTTCCCAAGAAATGTGGGGAAGGAGGGGAAGGAGGGGAGGACGGGGAGAAACAGGAGGGGAAGCAGGAGGGGAAGGAGGACAGGAAGGAGGGCGGGAAGGAGGGGAACGGGTGGACGAGGAGGGGAAAGCAGGAAGGGAAAAAGGAGGCGTGAGCAGGAGGGGACCGAGAGAAAGAACGAAGAAAGGATGGAGATGCAAGATTTCGACCAAGACAAAGAGGTTCATATTCATAAGTGGTGAGGAGGGGGAGAAGCAGGAAGGGGGTAAGGGAGGAAGAGGAGGGGGAGGAGGGGGAGAAACAGGAAGGGCAGCAGGAGAGGAAGGAGGTGGGGAAGGAGGGGTATGGGTACTATGGTAGGAAGAGGAGGGGGAAGCACGAGACGAAAAGGGAGGGATGCGCAGGAGGGGAACGAGAGAAAGGAGGAAGAAGGGAAGAAGATGCAAGATCATGACGATGACAACGAGGTTGTTCTTCATATGTGTGGGGGCCATACTTGTTGATCCCCCCCCTCTGGAAATCACTTTAAATCAGAGAATAGTCAAAGCATTATCGCGAAGAGTGGTGGCTACGGTCTGGCAGTGGCGAGAAGTGGCTCTCACTTACCTCAACGCACTGCCTGAGGTCCGAAGCAGAATAGCCCGACCAGTCCTGCAATCACATGAAGAAAGGAAAACGGGAAGACAGAAATGAGGATTCCAGCCAGTTAAACATAGATAGTACGAACCCAAGGATATCAATTGACAGGTCAATTGTTCAAGGCCTTCCGAGAACAGATCAGTGATATTACTCATTGCAAGGCACAGAACGTAGCCGTGAGGCCCTTCCCCCCAATGGAGCTATGTCTGTGTGCCCTAGGTGGCACACAAACTGCACCCAAGGAAATCAGATAACAGGTCAAGGGCTCAAGGCTTTTCTAAAAAAAACAGTACGTCATCGCACGACGCCAAACAAAGAGGTTACATACGGCACATGAATCGCACACTAGACATGAACCCGGCCATCAAAGAGGGTACATTCATTACCAGGACTTGGTCCTCGTTCATGGTTTCTGTAGACGATGCAAATCATCGTTGCCAGTGTTCTCCGCCGAGACCCTTCGTCTCCAGATCATCTTCATCATCATTGCTATCCGCATCATCTTCATTCTATTATTATCCACATTGAGCTTCGCTGGACTACTCAACATATCCAAACAAGATGGGCCAGCACGGCTCCGCCCACGTCAGGAAATGGGAGATTGGAAGGACACAAACAGTCAATCGAGAAGGATGTATTAGAAGCGATGTGAAGAAGTTGAGGTTCAGTTCAGGAGAGAACGAGTCATTGTGACCGGTAGAGAAAAAGATGGGTGTGAAGTGAAAGAAGGAAGAAGGAGGGGGGGAGGTGTCATACACCCTTCAGTGAAAGAAGGAAGAAGGTACTGACCTTGTGGTTTAGGTGGGGCATGCCGAGAATGATCGTGATACAAAGGAATGCAGGCAGGCGGGTAAAAGACAAAACAGCAATGGACGTTTGTTCGAAAAACAAAAGATGGATGGACAAAGTACATGGATCCTATATGGGAAAGAACGGTGTTTCAGGTCTCCGAAGATCAAGAATTAACCCCCTCCTAAGCCTTAATAACGACGCACCGCAAACACTGCCATGCTCAAAGACACAAGTCAAAACCCCGCACGCCATAAACACTGCGTACCTTGGCCACAAAGACTTAAAATCCACCAGTACAACTGGGCCTGGAGGGGCCTTACTGCGCGCCAAGCTTCTTCCAAACCGCCAGTGGCGCACTTTCTTTTTTAGCTGGCGCCTCCAGCCATTGTGATCCTGTAGGCCAGGCCTCCAAAATTTCCGTAGGCGACGAGTTGCATTTTCAGCACAGCTGGGCCCGTGTACTGGGTAGTGGTATGACCCCCTCCTGCTCTTCTTCCCCCGGCAAGTCGAGAATACATCGCACATCCGTCCGTTTGTTCGATCCGCGAACAGCATTGGTTACCACTCCGTGCTCACCAAGAAAAAAAACAGGGACCACGTAGCACTGGTGGCACAGAGAGAGAGAGAGAGAGAGAGAGAGAGAGAGAGAGAGAGAGAGNGAGAGAGAGAGAGAGAGAGAGAGAGAGAGAGAGAGAGAGAGAGAGAGAGAGAGAGAGAGAGAGAGAGACAGCGGCCATCTAGTCACCTGGTTTGGCCATTTCTTTCACTGGGTATAGTGCCTCACCGCACTACTCACCAAATGCACCGAAGACAAAAATTATGGCAATGCATCTTTCCAGGTTCTAGCAGGAGATTCATTCTCATTTTGTACATTCGGTGATTGGCACAGCGGAGCCCATGCTCACACTGGGACTTCTTTTTTTAACTTACCTGTAGACGTAATTGCGGTTAGGTGCATCCAGGTTGGACTGTAAAAGGGATCAGAAGCATCTAGGAAAGTCCTCATGTCAGAATGCAGTGAGTCTTGCGTGCTCAGGCCCCAGTGCGCAACTGCTCTTCCCTTTTTTTTTGTCCTTTTCTGGAGGGCCGCAGCCTTGAGATATCATCATTGAATGATTGAACTGACCGGCCTCTCTCTCTCTCTCTCTCTCTCTCTCTCTCTCTCTCTCTCGTTCAGTGTGCTGGTAATTCCGAAGGATTTTGTTCAGTCTGCCGCAGGCTTCGCTTGGAGGAAAATGGGAGGAGGGAATACCACCGAACCATTTGACTTTCTTATACGCTTTCTACTTTCTTTTACGCTTTTTACTTTCTTATACGCTTTTACTTTTCTTTGGGAAGCATCGTTTCTTGTTCTACGCTGTGTGAAATGACCCACACAGTTGCAGTCCGGGATCTCCAAACTTTTCAGAGAACATCCTGTCACGTTAATGTGTTTGCTCAGGATTAGGATTCTGTTTGCTGTGTTCTCTGAATATATTCGTAATCAACCAATCTTGTATGGATCCCACTGACACATTCGCGATTTTTCTCTTCTTTCCTTGGGGGCATTAGTATCTCGAACATTCGCGATTCTTTTTTTTTTTTTCCCCGGGGAACATTCGTATCTCGAACTGCGCCTGGCGCCATTTTCTTTTTCGGTTTGAAAAAGGCGAAGGCCTTGAGATATCATCAGTGAAATGACCGGCCCCGGGTAATTCAGAAGGTTTCATTGTATTCGCGCAGCTATATGAACCCGGGGGCCATGTCCCACTAGTGGGGGTTTAGTTTATGTTTCGTGTATTTTTCAACGTGGTCACGCCGTGGTCGTGTAATTTTCAGATCGGATGGCAGGGAGCCCTGCATACGTGAAACCAGAACTAAACCCCGACAAGTTGGGCATGGGCCCCGGGTCTTCATTTCAACAGTTCATGAGAATCGCGACGCGCCAAGAGATGAAAAAAAAAAATGGCCACGCGACAAAAGAAAACAGAAAGTCCTTCAGGACATCTGTTAAAATTGGAACAATACAGAGAAAGAAGATTAGCATGGCCCCTGCCCAAGGATTACACGCATAAATCGAGAAATGGTTAAAAAAAAAAAAAAAAAAAAAAAAAAAAAAAAAAAAAAAACCTCCGACGCCTCCTGACACAATTGGCCTTGAACTATGCTGACACTCGAGCACACACCGTTTGACAACGACCGATCCGACGGCCACAACACGGTAGTTTGGCCCCAAAATACTAATTCCACAACGAACCATGCGTCGACCAGGTAGGCCCGGACACATTTCATTGGAAACCACCTTTTCGGGCAATCCCAGCCATTGATCTCAGAATCTAAAGGCCACAACTCGAGGAAACCAAAAACTATCGGCACGCAGCATTCACTCCACGGCCTACTTAGCTATAGGAGTTTGTTGTAGATGCATCTGCAGCTGGTAATAGACGCAATACATTCAAAACGTTTGATCAATCCGAATGTATCTGCTCCAATTTACCATCCATCTCTGCATCGTCTTCACTACAATTTTAAACAATCCACATCATCATCTTCATTATCATTATCCGCATCGGGCCAGATGATTACCAGCGCATTGTTCTCTCTCCGTCTCACCTCTCCCTCTCTTCTCGTTCTATCCCATATCCCTGTGCTCACCGTCATCGACTTGCTCCATGGCTCCCTCATAAGTGTATGCGATGCCAAGAACACAACCGCGGCAGCAATAAGCGAAGGAGGGGAAGCGAGTAGTCCATCGTCCAGCATCGAGAGGCATGCGATGTGCTCCGCAGTTCGCTCCATTCTCTTGTCTGCCTTTGCAGCTCTCAGAAAGTGCCTGCATAAGAAATGACAAACCCATCTATTCAGTGAAAGAACCAGTCAACGTACCAGTCACAGTACAGTACAGTCGAAGTACAGTCAAAGTACAGTCAAAGTACAGTCAAAGAAGGGCAGACAAAGCCCATTCATTGACCCAAGTGCCAGACAAAGTGCCAGTCAAAGTACAGTCAAAGTACCGTCAAAGAAGGGCAGACCAAGCCCTTTCATTGACCCAAGTGCCAGTCGAAGTCCCAGTCAAAGTCCCAGTCAAAGTACAGTAAAAGTACTGTCAAAGTACTGTCAAAGTACTGTCAAAGTACTGTCAAAGTACTGTCAAAGTACTGTCAAAGTACTGTCAAAGAAGGGGAGACAAAGCCCATTCATTGACCCAAGTGCCAGTCAAAGTCAAAGTCAAGTCAACGTACTAGTCAAAGTACAGCCACAGTACAGTCAAAGTACAGTCAAAGTACAGTCAAGTACAGTCAAGGAAGGGAAGACAAAGTCCATCCATTCAGTCAAAGTAAAGTATAGTCAAAGTACAGTCAAAGTACAGTCAAAGTACAGTCAAAGTACAGTCAATGTACAGTCAATGTAGTGTCAAAATACCGGTCAAAGTACAGTCGAAGCGCTGTCCAAGTACAGTCAAAGAAGGGCAGAACCGGAGTTGATCATAATCCACTTGTACGAACTGGAGTGCAACAGGTACCCTACAAAGAAAGAGAAAAAAGGACAAACAGAAGCACCCAAACTTCCAACCAGTGAATGATCGCTTACCACAAGAAAGTCATCACTGTCGGCATAGCACAGTCAAAGTGAAGAATTTTGAGCACCGTCGCTTCCATCTTCAGTATTAGCGACGGTGTGAATGTCGGATCCGTCACCTCACAGCTGTCTTTAAGAATCATCCTGAAGCAAACAACGATGCAACAGGAATGACAGCCACAGAAGACGAAAAGTAATACCCGTAGAAAAAGTAAGCAATCATCAAATTGTGTTGCACGTTGTTTGCACATTGTGCTACCAGTTTCCTTTAATCTACCAACGATGGGCTTGAACTCTAAATGTTTGATTTTTTTTCCTGTTTTCTTTGAAGGGCGACAGCCTTGAGATATGGTCATCGAACTGACCGGCCCTACGTAAGTCAGAATTGTCGTATTTAAACGGTATTTTACTTTACTCGTCTGCTTCCAGTGGAGTTCGAACTCCCGTATGTATTTCGACAGTTCTACGGGTGTGTACCAATTGAGCTACGCAAGTTGACGGGTTTCGTTTTTTTTTTTTTTTTTAACCACCACAACCTTTCCCAGGCAAACGGAAAGTCCATCTAGTAGCCTACTCCTGAAAACACGGGGCTCGGGGCAGGGTTGGAGGCCGACGAAAAAAAGAAGAAAAAAAAGAAGAAAAAAAAAGAAAGAAAACTAAAGAGTCCCCACTCCAGGGATGTCGGGAAAGGCCCTCACGAGGGTGGAAGTTATACCAGTGCTTGGACGAATGTATCTGGCCACTATGTCGGAAAAGGGATTGCAGGTCGTTTTTCTTTTTCTTTTGTTTTGAAATCCTTGTAGTGCCCTGCCAGCCAGGCAGGCCGTGTTTCACGGGTGGGACGTAACTGTCTCACTGCTGTAGCATCATGTATCTGCTCTCAATCCCAGGAAAAGGGATTCCTTCTTTTTTTTTTGTTGCTTCTCTGTTTTCACCCGTACACGCCCTCACTGAGGGCACAGTCACACAAGCACCTCATAGAATGTATCTGGTGGTTATCAAGGCCTCCGGGAAGTCTCTTTTTTTTCTTTTTCTTTCTTTTTTTTCCCCTTCTTCTTTGTTCGATGAAACTGCCCCGCCCGGCTCGGCCAAACTCGGTGCGCAGTGAAAATCAGGGTCGGCAAAAACAGGTTCGGAGGTAGTGGTGGTTTAAGGGGTTACGGTCTTGAGATATTATCATCGAACTGACCATCCCTAGGTAATTCCGAATTGTCGTAAGTTTACTCACCTGCTTCCAGTGGAGTTCGAACTCAGCACCTGGTCTGCATTTCAACAGTTCAGTTCAGTTCAGTTCAGTTCAGTTCGGGGGGGGTGTACCAACTGAGTTAAGGCAGTTGGTGGGGTTTCGTTTTTTCAATTTCTTGCTCCAGCACTTCAACATGATCCGGGGACCAATTCCTTTTTTATTTTGTTTTCCTTTTCTAAGTTTTCTTGTTTTTTTTTTTATTGTTTGCTTCTTTTTTTTAAATGAAGCCATAAAAGTTAGCACTGACTGAATGTTTGCATGCTATGTTAGTTTTGTCTCTCTACCAGCACTCAGTTCGCTTTTCACGATTTCTTTCTTCCTTTTTCAAAACCACTGAAGTCTTCAATTTTGCTCTGTTGCACCGGCTTGCAAAACAGAGGGAGAGAGGGAGAGAGGGAGTTTTCTGGAAATTGGCTATCTTCCTTCTTTGGGAGCAGTTTCATAATTGCCGCATCCTGAACACAGTTGTCGTATGGTTGTTATCGTGTCGCCATAAGGCCCAACGAACACATACTAATAGACTTGCGGCCACGAAGTGGGAGACTGGAGCTTGAGTGGGAAACCCAAACATTGCTGTTCACCTCCTCCTTCCCCCGAATAGAACATATGGTCATTAATACTCATTATCCCTGTATCTAGACTGAAAATTGCCCCAGCTACAGCGATAACGACCATACGTTCTATTCAGCACAAAACAGGCACATTGCAAAAATAAAAACAAAAAGAAAAAGAAAAATCAAGGGCAGATTGAAACCATTAAATTTCTCATTCTTCTTTGAACTCCACCTCCAC